TTTGGACGGAAGCTTCTGAATCTCTCAGACTAGTTGGATTGAAAGAGAAAGAGGATTGTCAGCCTTAGGGGTAGGCCAGGGAGTTCAAGTCCACACATCTTAAAGTTACCAAGGGTGAGAAACACTGGTTTAGATTCAAGACTGATGATAAAATGGGGAACACAAATGCCTCAGGGGTAGATTAAGGGCATCTGCCTTAAGGCGTCCTCCGGTATCAAGCACATCTAGTCCAAGTGGGAGTCAGCTCATACTCAGCTTCTCCAGAGCTCAAAGATGTAGGGAAATGGGATACACATTTTGTGTGTGTACTTTTCAGTTAGTTTTAACACCTGGCAACAGCACAGACAAATCCCTGCAATTTTCTTGGCAAGAGTTTTGAAAGTGTTTTGCCCTTGTTTTCTTCCTAGGGCTGAGAGAGAGGGACTGGCCCAAGGTCCCCCAGCTGGCTTTGTGGCTCAGGCAGGACTAGAACTCACAGTCTCCCGGTTTCTAGGCCAGTGCCACTACACCAACTTGGCTCTTGGGACATACAACCTGGCTTTCTCTATCTTATAAACCTATTGATAGGCATAGTGGCAAGTTAGCAGAAGTATAGTAGTGACAAATTTTGCAATTTTACTTTTTTCTGTGGAGAGGAATTCTCCCTTGTTTCATCTATCTAAACAACTCTGTTATTGGTCAGATTGATATTCTCATTTCTAGATCTATCTTATCTTATCTTTGTATCCATGTACAGTACAGATGTATTTCTCCAGTGCTGTCTTCTATACTGCTTTTTCAACTTCTGGTCTGGCCTACAGCCCTAGGATGCCCTGACAGTTTCCCTTCCAAGTACTACCCTAATTGGATCCTGCTTAGCTTTCCACCATCAGCAGAAGTCAGCTAGATGATGCCACCAGTGGGGTGCTATAAAAAAATTATGCTTAGAAATATCACTGGTGATTTGACATTTTAATTTCTTCCTTTAGCTGCCAGGGAAAAGGCCTCCAGGGTGGAATGTCCACGGAAAAGTTGACACTTATATCTGGCTTGGCCCTGCTAACTACGCCTATACTATTTTGGACAACTTACCAGTTGGATATGAAACAGAAACACCTTTAGCAGCAAGTACAGAACACCATCCTGCTCCCTCCCCTGTCAATCTGATCTACAAAAGTGAGACATATTTTAAATTTGGGGGAACTTTTGCAGACTAGTAAATTAACTAAACTATATTGTGCAATTATTGCTTAGCGCTTCTTGTACTTCTTTGGATCTTTAAAGAACGACCGAATTAAAATTTAAAAATTATTCTCTGCTGTTGCAGAGAATAAAACCTAGATCATTGGTTTCAAGTAGAAAGAGGAATTTTGATTGAATTTTACTGATTTTATGTGCTACTCAACAAGAACATACTGCCTTAGAAGATGATGGAGTCATTTTTGATAAAAAAAAATTAAACAGAAGCCATAAATTGGATTATATGAGTGTTTAAGTCCATTCTATTATTAGAGAGTGAGGATTAGTATAACCCTGACCAACTGCCTCATCCATTTTGTTATAAAATATCTGGACATGGCATTTGCTCATCCAGTTGGGGTCAAATAAGGGTTATATTTAATTTTCAGCATGTATGAAGGGTTGGGACTTTGGACTTTTTCTTTATACCCACAGCAAAAATATTCCCCTTGATTAAAAGCACATCTTGGAATGACCATGTGAATGATCTCATGGTCAGTCCAGGAAGTGCTGAAAAAGAAGATGCGATAGTTGCAGAGAATCTCATGCTGCCTCGTGTGTTGTTGGGGAAGGAGGGAAAGCAAAAGCCCAAAGCATACAATTTCAAATGTGAGCTGGATTTTTTTCTGGGGAAGGATAATGACTAGCCAGGCTATTTTCCAACTAGCATTCCTCTCCCCATGGATTGGCTAGAAGAAAAACAAAGCAACCTGTTCTTTTATATCCCCTATTTCCACTTATGTTTCTATTCCACTCCTGATCGTCCCCAAGTGATGTTCATAACTCTCTCCATTACCTGCTTACAGCCAAGAATATCTTTCAGCTGAGAGCTCACATGTATCAAGCAAGAGGACTTATTGCTGCTGACAGCAGTGGTCTTTCAGATCCTTTTGCCAAAGTTACTTTTGTTTCTCACTGCCAGACCACAAAGGTAAGGGAAAAAGGGAAAAATTATTATACCTAGAGCAGTGTTTCTCAACCTCAGCCATTGTGTGGACTTCAACTCCCAGAATTCCCTAGACAGCATGCTGGCTAGGGAATTCTGGGAGTTGAAGTCCACACCACTTAAAATTGCTGAGGTTGAGAAACATTGATTTCGAGGTACAGGGTGGTGGTGCTCTGGATGGCTTTCCACAATCCAACCCAAAAGAAATCCTTCTGCATGTGTGAACAGGTATAAGAAAATCTGTTCTGCAAATTGTTGGCTGAATGATCAAGAGTGCCAAGAGTGAATATATTTTATTTATTTTAGAAATGTGCTAGGCCACCCAACTCTGCAGTGATTCTGGGTGGCATGCAGTCAAGATAATCACACAATATAATTAAAGAAACCCAAATGTTGAAAGACAAACAAACATTAAAGACAGTCAAATGCACAGGACCTGCCACCTGTTTTAACCCAAGGCCTGGAGAAATAGCCCAGTTTTCAAACCTCTTTTGAACACAATCAGGGTGGAGGCCAGATGTATCTAAGGTGGGGGTGTATTTGTTGAATGTATTTAATATTGACAACGCTTAAGTGTTTTGGCTTGATTATATTAGATTGGGGCAGTGACAGGAAACAGGTAACAAATCCGGGACCCAGTCTTTCCCCCGAGTGCCTTCAGGGTATGGTAAAAAAAGTCAACATGGCAATCATGATGGTGCAATTAAAGTTATGCTTATTTTTTAAGTGTGTTGCAAGCGGAGCTTCAATTGCAGCCTTGCATTTATTTATTTGTTTCTTTGTTTGATTTATCCTGCCTTTATTTTATGTCAGCTCAAGGCAGCATACATATCTAATGCTCCCACCTCCTTTTTTCCCTACAAAAACAACCCTGTAAGGTGGGTTGGGCTGAGAGAGAGCAGCTGGCCCAAAGCCATCCAGCTGGCTTCCCTGCCTAAGGAAGGGCTAGAACTCACAGTCTCCTGGTTACTAGCCCAGCACCTTAGCCACAAGGCCAAATGGGCTATCTCTTGTGGCTGCCATCATGACTTTTTTGACCACACCTTGGTCTTTCCCAACATGGTGCCCTCCCTAGTTGTTGGAATTTAGCTTACACGCCAAAGACATGCCTAACACCAACATTATTGGTTTCAGATTTATTGAATGATTCTTTGACCATCTTCATATTAAGACCTGCTTATCTGGGAGTAAGTCCCATTTTATATCCACTGAAAACCAGGAACATTTAAGTGCTTTCACTGTGATTTGAGGAACTCCCCAACCTATGGTCTTCCAAAGGTATTGGACTACAGTTCCCAATCAAAAAGACTAAAAATGGCCATTTGAAAACTGTTGCCCAATTCATTTGGAAGGCATCAAGTTATAGCCAGGATAAACTAACATCTTCTTACAGGCATTGCTATTATTAATATGCTATTTTCCTCCTCTCCGTTAGATCATTCAGCAAACTTTGTCTCCTACTTGGAATCAGATGTTGCTTTTTAATAATATTGAGCTCCATGGTGATGGCAAAGAAATTGTTGAATTCCCTCCTGTGATCATTGTGGAACTCTACGATGACGATGCGGTGGTAAAGATAATTTTCCTCATACTTATATACATTTTTTAAAAGGCCTGCTGGGTCGATGTAATGATACTGAATTGCAGAGGAAAGCATCTTGGTGTTATGAATAGGGTGCAAGCAATGCTTAGAAGCTGAAGGTGCTCTGGAAAAAAATATTCTATCAGTATAGCGAAAGAGCTGAGTAAAACACTCTGATTTGCTATCTTTTCACCAGGAATCAACAATGTTCGATCTAATATATTCTAGTTTTTCCACAAAAAAACAAAGGGCAAAGGAGAAACACAGTCAGGCAACAGAAGATCAATCCAGCAGGTCAAATAAGAGCCTTCAGAAGTAGGTGCAGACCTGGATTGGAAACAGAACATCCATATTTTTAGGTCCCCAGGCCCCAATTTCATGTGACTCGGGTGTCCCCATCAAAATCCCCCCAAATCTACAATGGCTAAATGTGATATGATTTCAGCCATCTTTCTCTGGGATCTCATGGAAAGATCCTGAAGTCTCATAGGAGTTTCTATAAGATGCCTAAGTTCTTGTCTGAGATCTCAAGAAATTGCTGGCTCGATATCAGGTGATCCTATGAATGCTGAGCTTTGTGTACAATTATTTTAATTTGGATGGTGGGTTACAGGTGTCACTTTGGGGGAAATGGATGCTCATCTTGCCAAACATTGAGTAGCAGAATTTAATGGGCCTCAGGTGACATTTGGCCAAAGCTGGATTCCAGGATGTGCCTGACATGTAACAGTAACTTCACAGGGAAGAAAAGTAAAATATTAGCTCATTAATACCTTGACTTAGGAGATTCTGACATGATGCCCATTCTAGTTTCTGAAATACCACCAAGGGCTTAGCCACATTCCCATTTTATTTCCGTGACAGCGCACTTGTCATTTAACCTCTGTTAACTGATTCATTATGTGCCATCAAATCAGTGTTGACTCTTAGCAACCATATAGATAGACCTTCTATAGGGTGATCCTTCTCCAGCTTGGCCCTTCTGATCTTCTAACACTGCTGAAATTCCCTTTTTGTACATCCTTCAATGGACTTCTAAGCCACTTAAAGGTGATTGATTGAAGCAGCATAGAAGTACTAAGCTAGACAAACACTACAAATAAATGGAAGTACCAGATCCTTTGTCTCTGTTGAATCCAGACAGTTAATAAGACTGCGCTGCTTAATAACACTTTTGCTTATAGCAATGACTACAAGCCTAAGCTTGGAGGATCTCCAGGATGTGAACATCAATGCTATTGTGTATTTTTCTTTTTAAACATATAGGGAAAATCAGAATATATTGGTGCAACTGTGGCTGCCCCAGGAACAAAGCTGGTGGGGGACCAATATGAGCCCCCAAAGCTTACTTACCACCCACTATACTGTGGCAATCTTTCCGGAGGAGATCTTCTTGCTGCATTCGAGCTGCTTCAGGTGAGTTTGGAATAATTTCTTTTTTAATAGTCGGATGCATCTTTATGTTGTTGTTGATATAATGTGCCATCAAGTTGTTTTTGACTCCTAGTGACCACAGAGATAGCTGCCTTGCTTTCAGCTTAGCACATTGTGTGAAATAACCATTGTGAGTTGTAAATCATCATTGTTACAGATATGCTCAAGCTGAAGGGACACCACCACAGATGAGCCCCCAAACCTTTTAGCATAGTCCCCAAGCCCCTGCAAATGTCATCCCTGAATTGTAGTTTTAATTTATTGGGAGAGTGATTTCCATGTAATTTTCTTGGCAATAATATAGAAATGGTTCACCATTTCAGTATATTTTTTAAATTGTTCAGTCTAACTTACACCCCTAAGATTTCTAGGCAGTCACCCATCCAAATATTAACCAGGTCAGATTCTGCTTAGCTTTCTGAGAGCCACCAAGATCAGCTAGATGCTGGGATCTGCTGAAGCACAATTGTTGAATACATAGGAAATGATCAGATGAATTGCATAGAATTTAAATTACATTTAAAGCATGATAAATTTATCATAATGCATTCAAAACTTAGTTTTTGTTGTTTATTTGGATTTGTCAGCTAAGAAACAGTGATACAGTATAAACTATCCCTTTAAACTCCTTCTCTTCCCAAAATATTCTGCTGGGTTTCTTTGGGGTATGTGTGTACAATTTGTTCTGAGCAAGCACTTCTCTACCCCCAATGATGGTATCTACTCATGAAGATAACTTGGGGTGATTTTAGCTTGGTATTTAAATCTTTCCCAACTGGCTGATTTGTTTTTGTTTTGAGCAATTTCCCTTTGTAGGTCCTTAAAGAAACCAGCAAGTTATGCTTTGTTTGATAGGAAATTCATTAGAACTTTTTGGAATATATTCTACAGAATTGATTATGTTCCATCAAGCTGGTGTCAACTCTTAGCAATCAGATAGATAGATTTTCTCCAGAAGGATCTGTCCCCAAGCTGATCCTTCAGGTCTTCCAGTGGTGTACCCAACGCTGCTGTAACTGATTCCTTCTGCCCCGCTACTGGGCTTCCTCTTCTCTTTCCTTCCAATTGTAGCCAATTACAACATCCCAATGAGTGACATGGAAGGTTTTGAAAAGGTACAATTACAGATTGATAAAATAAATGGTTGATAAATGGTTGAATAGATCAGATGTCCCCCCACTGTATTCCACTTTTCATGTAAATAGAAAACAGTGTAATCCCAGATTATTATATAAATATACTAACTGTATATTAAAATATACTTTTCTTTGGTATCTTTAAGTCAGTTTTGACTCTCTACAACTAAATAGACAAGTCAACTATGTACAACTACATAGACATGTCTATGTAGTTTTCTTAGTAACATTTTTCAGAAGAGCTTTGCCCTTGCTTCCTTCCTAGGGCTGAGAGGGTATGACTGGCCCAGGGTCACCCAGCTGGCTTTGTGCCTAAGACAGGACTAGAACTCATGGTCTCCTGGTTTCTAGTCCAGTGATTTTAGCCACTACATCAAACTGGCTCTCACTAAAATATCCTAGCATATGTACATAGTACATAGTACAGAGTGTATATATATAGTACATGTACAGAGAAATAACCCATATTTTTCTGGACAAACTGTCCTTCCTATGACTTTCATAAACCTGAGAAGGTAAATTATGTCAAATTTAGCCAGAAAAAATCCAGTTTGGGTAGATCTGTGGTTTTTGAGAGAAGAACAGTTTAGAAATGTATATGTAAATATGTATTACATGGGATATGTTGTACAGATTTTAAAAAACATAGATAAAACAGGTATTATGGCTAATGTGGAGTCCTTGGGGTTCTCTGAGCTTGGTTCTTTTCTTGCAAACATTTCATTACCTGGCTAGGTAACATCTTCAGTGCTAAAATGGGCTGGGGTTTGGCAGAGGGTGGAGGGGAGGACTCTTGATTTGATCAATATGTGATTATGTTAGTTCTAGGGAGAATGGCAGGATATTTTTTCAGAGTATCTTTAACAGCATCACAGCTGAACAATAAAATATGTTTTTGATCTATAGGTTTCTGATTCTGGCCCAGAAAACCTTCCACCTCTTGATCCTCCAGATGCCAGCCTAATCTATCCAGTCCCAGCCAACATCCGACCTATATTAAGTAAATACAGAGTAGAGGTAAGTTAAGAAAGAACAACTCACTAATGAGCCTCTGAGCCCTTGTCTGCTACATGCAAATGTGCTTAAATCAGGAATTCATGCAGACTTTTGTGACGGTAGGTGAGCTTGCTCACTCCTTTTGTACGTCTAGTACACACCTGTATGGATGTCATTCTTCCCCTGCCAAATGCTTTGTGCTTAAGAGAGAGAGAGAGAGATCATGGTGGTCCCACACTTACAGAAGTCCTTGCAATTCATAGTGTATTGACATTATATTTTAGCCAAGAAAAGGAGATCCAAGTTATGTGCCTCTTCATCCTCAATGATTCTTTTGCTTCCCTTTCATAAATGTGTCCACAATTTGTTGGGAGCAAAACTCACCTGTGACCTAAAACATCCGATGAAGCTACTTACACAGGAAATCTGCTGGGGTGGAGGATTTTAGGTGGCATATTAATCTTTCCCAGCTGGCAACTGTGCTTGCTCTGTGAGTGCATTTTCATTTGGAGACCTTAGTCTACAAATTCCATACAAAGTATGGAATTCTTTCTGGTGTGGAACTGACTAGATCTGTTCGCAGGGTGGTATAGTGGTATGGAAGAGGTTGAAGGGCTGCAGTCAGAGGTTAGTTAAATAAATGTTTGACTGTTAATGCTACAGTCAAACCCTATCCCAAACTTCTTTTCCATTTGTATAGATAACAAACAAAAAGTAAGAAATAAGTCACCTTTAGTTGTTTCAGGGTAATGTTTCAATTTCTCTTCTTATAGAAGGTTTTGGGATCAGTCTAGCCACATCACTATTAGCTTTTAAGAAAGCCCTGAAGACCATTTGTTTGTCTGTCTGTCTGTCTGTCAGTCTCTCTCTCTCTCTCTCGCATAAGTCTATCACCAAATCTTGAATAACAGTATACAACAACAAAGCATTAAAAAGAAAAGTACAGTTACAGTAAACAAGATAACAACATAACAAACACAGTTTACTGGTAGCTCCTCCTGAATAAGTCTGAATGTTCTGCATGGAGGGCAGGTTTTCACATTGTTTTTATGAGGGTTTATTTCCTTTCTCCTTCTCCTCCTCCTCCTCCTCTTTCCTATGTGAGCACCTTGGGAGGTTTTCTTCTCATTAACTAATTAACTAACACAGTCCAGGGGCAGTTGCTTTATGCTTTATAAACTGCTCCAAAGAAAGACAGAAGGGTGGTCTCATGGCTTAATGATTGACACAAGACCCAGCCAATCACCACCTATCACAGCCAATCCTCTTTTTACCAGCTTTATCTTCTCTCCTTCCCTGTCCACTTGCAGTGTGAGGATCCAAATAATTGCCTACCCTAAAGGGTTGTTGTGTTTAATACATTTCATCTTGAAATGAGTCCTGTAGAAGTCACATATTATTCTTTCCCCTGCCACAGGTTCTATTCTGGGGTCTTCGGGAATTGAAGAAAGTGCAGCTTCTCTCCGTTGATCGCCCCCAAGTCATCATTGAATGTGCTGGCAAAGGAGTGAAATCCTGTGTGATCCAGAGCTACAAAAATAATCCCAATTTTAATGTCCTGACAGACTGGTTTGAAGTGGTACATGCATACAAATCTCTGCTAAATGGATTGATCTTTGCATTTTGCTAAAAATAATGCAGTAGAGTTAGATAGAACTAGGCAACCCTGACCCATTGGGTCATTGTTTCAGAGATATTTCCTTACCTAAAGCTAAAGCTGATTGGGTGCAGGGGACAGAGGGAGGCAGGAAAGAGATTGGGGATAAGCCCATAACCATCATGTGACCTGGGCTGACCACAGTGGTGTGGCAGTACAGCAGTGCTGAAGCAGCCACAAATTTCCCACATTTCAATCCCACAGGAGTAATAGGTCCCCGATGTTGAATGCATTCTGTAAGTTAGTCCATTTGAGGTATCTTGGTTCAAAAATTCTTGCCCTATGATGCACTGTTTCACCCAGTTGAAGGTTACAGACACAAGAGTTTTAGTAGTATATAGATAGATTTCATATGAGTTATTCAATCATCCAGCACAATGCAGCCCATGGGAGACTTGAGCTCCAGGTTTGGCTTAGATCTGAAAGTCAGTGGGTGACTCTGAACAAATCACTTTCTCCTAACTCATAGCTACATTACAATGTGGCTGAAACCAGAGGATACAATCTGATTGTGAGTTTCATTTTATTTCTAAAATGTTGGAAGAGCATTGAGTAGACCTTTTCTTCTTAAGCTGAGATCTTGTAGGCCACCTCCAGTTCTGCATAACCAGCAGTTAGAATTACCATGCTGTTCACACTCATGGAGTTTCCCCCCTAAAGCTTACTGCACAGGAGAGGGAAAATTCTTACAATATTGTTTTAAAAGAACAATTTCCAGAAATACGATAAAGGAAAGCTTAACTTCCCCCTCTTCTTGCATTGTTTTTCACTAACTTTAACTGCACCCCATGCACTTCACATTTCTAGCAGCATCTGGCATACAATATAAAGAAAAATATTACAGGCTTTTTCATTACATCATTAAGATCATGGGCTTGTTAGACCTTAAGGTAGCCAGAGGAAGAAAGGGAGAGAAGTTCAATTAAGCTGATGTTTTAAATGAAAAAATTAGCTTGGGTAACAAAAAGAGAGAATCTGCTGAGTCTGATTTAGTTCAATTGCTTATTTATCAGTCTGTTTCATTCAATTTCTTTTCTGCACGTTTAAGAATGGTTTTTAAAAGATTATCTGAGAATTCATACATATTTTCATGCACATTTATCATAATATGAACACACACACACACACACACACACACATGCATTTCTTGCTGTTTTGCATATTATCAGAAAATATACTAATTTTAGTAACATCTTTGCATAATTATATCTTGCTGTGCATTTTATGAGTTGTGAATTTCATTATGAAATTTGGAGTGTGTGGATTTTGGTGTTTCATTATCTTAAATTGTGTGCAGTTTTAGAAGTATCAGTTCAATTGGCTCACACTGCAATGATAATCTAAGAATTTGTTTCATGAGAAATTCATCAGCTACACTTATCAAATAATTTTTGTCTAATATAAAAGTCTATCAACCAAAGCATATTATCCAAGTTTGGAAGGAGCAAGTTATGACAAGTCTCTTGTCTCAAAGTTCTTGTGAGTCAATAAATGGATTTAGAATTCAAACTAGACTTTACTTAAAATGAAAATAAAGGTGGATTTAATAATTGCAATTTATTAGGTGCAAGATAGGAGGCTTGTTAGTTTTTTTTAATCACAGAATATCTTAAACTAAATGGGATTTTACTGAGAATTTTGTGTAAAGTTGGAATATAACTAAGTTTTTTTTAAAGAGAAACATCTGCAGTTATTTTAAACCCAGTAGATTTTAATCCTAGTGCCATTTAATGGGGACTGTTTACAGGACTGGTGACATGTTGGAAATAGGGAAGGTTTCTAAAACATCAGTGACCTTTCTACCAAGTGAAAGACACGAAATTTAAAGAAATTCAGCAAGGGCGAGCCTCTGTAAAAATTCAGAAGGCAAACTGCAAGTCATCTCAAATAAATTACAGAAATCAAATCACCAGAGGATTTTCTTGTAGGATTTGATAGAAAACCCATCTCCAGTTAAAACTAAATGAGCAGAAAGCAGATGATGAAAACTGCTATTTGAGAAAATAAAGAAAGATCTGACTGGTTCTTGTGTGTTTCTCCATTGTTAGGAATTGCCCGAAAATGAACTTTTGCACCCTCCACTAAGCATTTGTGTGGTTGATTGGAGAGCCTTTGGCCGTAGTACTCTGGTTGGGACCCACACTGTCAACTGCCTTAAGCAGTTTTTGTTTAAGCCCAAGGAACCTCTTGTTTCCTCAGCTAAAGAGGCTGACATCATAGAAATTGACAAAGGTAAGATATGCCAAAAGTCCGGTCAGAATCCACCCTCCACTCCTTTCATAAAGCTGTGAAGATGGTTTTTTTGGAGGACCTTTGAGACCTACAGTAATTGTTGCTGCTATTAACTGGGGCTGGTTGTTTCTGTAACATCTATTTTAGTAGGATTTATTGGTTAATATTTTATTGTTAAATTTTAATGTGTTTGTTTTACATTGTTGCACTCCATAGAGCTACCCTCAAAGACCACTCAGAAGCTACAGCTGGTCCTGAATGCAATGGCAGGAGTAGTTATAGGCACTGTTGGCTTCTGGGTGAAATTCAGGATGTTGGTTGTCACCTATAAAGCTCTTCATAGCTTAGGAACTGGATACCTAAGGGATCACCTTTCTCCTGTTGTTTCTGCCTGCCCAGTAATATCTGTCAAGCAGAGTTGGCTCACTCCAGCTCCCATCTGTAGAGCAATGTCATCTTGCAGGACATAGAAGATGGGCCTTTTTTGTGGCTGTACGTATCTGCCCTATGAACAGCATCTCCCACCCACCCTCAAGGCCATGTAATCCCAACCTTTCAGCACTTTTGCAAATCTTTAAAACTCTTGGCTCTTCCAACAGGCCTCGGGACAAGGTGGCTTAGTATCTGCTCCTTGACTTTAAGTTGCTTTCTTTTTTACTGTTATTGGGGGTTTGCTTTGCTCTTCCCAATGCGTTGTTAGTCACTAGAGTTTACCATTACTATTATTGTGTTATGGGTTTGGGTATTTTTGTTTGTTTGTTTCATTTTGTAATCCTAATTGTAAACCAGTTTGGTTTAGTGGAGACCCAGTTTAATGGAGAGTCAGTGTGGTGTAGTGGCGAAAGCACCAGGCTAGAAACCATGAGACCATGAGTTTTAGTCCCATCTTAGGCATGAAGCCAGCTGGCTGACCTTGGGCCAGTCCCTCTCTCTCAGCCCTAGGAAGGAGGCAATGGCAAACTGCTTCTGAAAATCTTGCCAAGAAAACTGCAGGGACTAGTCCACGCAGTTGCCAGGAGTCAACACTGACTCGAAGGCACACACACAACTGTAAACAAAAAACATTGCATGCCTCACTCCTTGCCAATCTGGAGCCAGTCAGTTTCGCTGTGTTCCAGCCAGACTGTGACTTCATTTCCCGTGTATAGATTTCACATGAGATCAATGAGATGTTCTGGGATTTCCGTTTCCTAAGGACATTCTACATTTCAACATGGTCACATGGTCATCACAATCAAAGGCCTTTCTATGGTCAATGAAGCGCATACTGACTTCTATTTAGAGTTTTTTTCCTCCTTAATTATCCAGTGTACATCTGCAGTAATGTCTCTTGCCAATAGGGACCTGGTTATTTTTTGGCTAGATTCTGTGCTGCAGCCTGTAAGATTAGACTAAAAGACAATATGGAAATATTTTTAATTTATTACAATCTGCAGTTTTATTATTCTATTACTAATTAAGGTGGTTATAGGATTTAGATTTATTGCACCATGGAATAGTTTTATTTGGTTAGCATTTATTTCTAAAGTTTTATATCTTTTATTCCTTTTATGATCTAAATACACTTTTATTTGGTTATGGCTCATCATTTTAATACGTTGGTCTAGGACCATAATAAACATTAACTAACAATACAGTTCATGGGATCACCCTCCAGCTATTTAATATCTCTTTCCTTTCTGTCATGTTAAAATGAGAGTTTGGGAACGGCTTTTCAGGAGTTTGGAAGGCCACTCTCAAGGCTTTGGAAACCATGTAGGGCCCCTGGTTCATCACTGCTCAATCTGCCTGCATGAAGGACAGGTGGGAAAGCTTAAAGGTCTATCTACCTCTGATCTAAGAGATGTAGCCATATTCTCACTGTCATACAGCCACTTATATAGAAGAAGCTGTTACATGCTGAGTCTCAGGATCTCCACCTGGAATTAGAGTTGGGAAAAACCATTGCCTAAGATCATCTAAAGGTCCCAGAGAGGCAGTTTGCACACTGAGGACTATTAATTTCAGATCAGGCAAAGAAATGCTGCAACAGGAAGCAAGCATCTGATGGGTGTCCTGCATCTCCCCCCACCCCCACCCCACTTTTTATCAACAGCCAAAATGGGCATTCTGAAATAATATCTCCTTCAGGTTGATTTGCATAATGTACTTCTATTCATTTGTGAACTACAGCATTTTTAATGAACCTGGGAACTATTACCATCCCTGCATATTAAGTGAGGAAGTTGAACCAGTTTAGTCCTATAAAGCTGATAAGACTTTCATTGTTTAGAATATTGAACATATGGTCTTCCTTGTTCAGCTTTATATATTCACTTCTTTCTAGCTTCACCTGCTCCAGCACAACCTCAGACAACTCAACTTCCGCCACCTCCAGCAGATCACATTTATGTTGATGTGGAACATGGCGAGCCTGCTGTAGCCCTCCCAAAACCTGAGACAGCAGCAGTAGGTCCTCCCCCACTACCTCCTCTACTACCAGCAGCTCCTTCACTGAAACCTTCACCAGCATCTACCTCTAAACCTTCAAAAGATGGGAAACTAAAAGTAGGCATCCTCCAATTTTGGAGGGTTTTTGTTTTTTTTTTGCATTTTCCACCAGCAATGCATTCTCTTCCATATTATTGAACAGGGTGCAAAAAATGCCATGCTCAAAGACACATACTCCAATAATTTTCTTGGTTGTTTCATTCTGTATTCAAAATAAAAAAATGGGCCTTTCAGAAAGAATCATTTCCACTATCTTGGGCTGTTCCAAGTGTTACAACTGAACTTTGTTCTGTGGTTGCAATTGGAGCATTGTTGCTGTTTTAAATTTCAACCTAGTTAACGGCAATTGGGTTAGACAAAATGGGGAGGCGGGAGATGCGATGGGGAGGCAAAGCAGCGCATGGCAGGGCTGGGGAACCATTGTGGATTCTGTTCTGCTGCTGGAGAGAGAGGACCTGAACTGCTACAGCCAACTCACACAATGGCTAGTGCGCTGAGATTATAGCTTTTAAATACAGAGACCGCTACCAATACTATGTTGGGGCAGATTGGGTTGAATTGTTGAGCTTTTGTTTGCGGGCATGCATTCTGTGCATGCTCTTGTACACTGTTGAAGTTGAACTTCAGCGAACATTTAAATGCTGGTTTTGGTGCTTTGTGGAACCTGGGGCAATACTGTAGTGTAATTTTTGTTGTCATAGTGTTAATGCTATTTTTCTCACAAGACTTAAGCAACAGTAATTCTTTGCAGAAACAAAATACAAGTAGGCAATGTTTAGCAAAAAAACATACAATGGTTTGTGCTGGGCTTGTGCCTATAGACAGGCTGGTAATTATCATCATCATCTTATTATTATTATTATCTTGGCCAATCTTTCTGTACGTATGGTAACAGGTAGCAGCAGGATGAAGCATGAATCCATCTTTTCCCACTGTCATCACTAATTTTGGGGAGAAAAGTCAGGAACTTATTCCAAATTCTTTTTGTTTTCTATAATGAAAACACTCAAAATATTTGGAGTATTGTTCTGTCAGATTATAGAATCCTTGAAATATTTCAAATTTTATTTTCTCAGAACTCAGCCAACTCAGAATATTCTAGCCAAATATTGCAAGTGGGGATGTTTTCTTCTGAGCTCATGAAACAAATCTGTATTTCATACACATCCCTGCATATTATGTCACATTATTATACCCTAAAGGCTATGGACAATGCACCTATTCCTTATACTTGTTTGGGGGATGAAGAAGTAATTGTATAAACTAGGATGAGTAACCATACTGAAAATCATTGTATAGTTTCATGCTATAGCTCAGATACGCCTTCTTTTTTTGAAAAAGCAAAAAATAGAAAACAGAAAGACCACACAAGAAAAATGCACATTCATCATCATAGAAGAGATCCAGATTTAAAATGACAATATTCAGTATTTCTTGGTCATAGACATTTGTATAAATTGGAATCATTTATTAGGAATTACTGTGTTGATGTAACTGAAAGTAGATACAAAAATAAATTTTAAAGAATTACTCCTGGCAACAATTATTTTTACCTGCAATTTTTTTAAGGGCTCCAGAAAATCAATTTACCGCTCTACCAAGAGAAAAAAGAGAACACTCATTGATGAATCTGCTGAAAATGTCATTGATTGGTGGTCAAAGTATTACGCTTCGATACAAAAGGTGCAAAAGGTAAACAACTTCATAATTCACATTTTAATCTATTTTTTATACATAATATAATTTTGTAGGATTATAGTTTTTTTCTCACTAGGAATAGCTTCTTTTCGGACATTTCAAACATACAGACATGTGTGTGTGTGTGTGTGTGTTTGTGTATACACACAAATATACACACACACACACAGAGTTTTCCAGCAAAGAAAAGTACTCCTAATTAAATAACAAAAATAAATCTATTAAAGCTGGGTTGCAGTTAAGTAGCTTATTCTGTGTGTTCACGTTTACCTAAACTTTTCCTTTTATTTCAAAAGGCAAAAGTCCTTGATTTCAGTGATGGAAAACCAGGAACATGTAAGTAAATATTTGCATTTTTATTAACAGTGTTTTTCATAATTAATGGTAGCAGTCCATTCTCTCAAGAAACACTCATTCTGCAGCATTCTGCTAGGGAGGGAGCTGTATCTCAAATGTCTTTTTTACCAGTAGAATAGCTCTTTCCCCTGGAAAAGGGGCTTTTGATCCCATGGAAGATCTCACTTGTAGAAAGAGAGAGAGAAGTACATTTTCATGTCGACTCCTCTTCACTCCTATAGCCTGCTGTATAACGGCCCATAGGGTACTAAGAGATCCCCCAAATCCACTGAAACAGAGGTAAGGAATGCAGGAATATGGGAATGCAAAAGAATTTCACCCCCACTGCTGTTGGAAGCAAATGTGCATGTTCTATTTCCACCATATTTTGCAGCTTCAGGAAATCTATAATAATTAAAGTCTTCTAGCATTCATCTTTCCATAATCAAAGCAAAAGTTAAAAAAAAAAAAAAAGAATACACCACTCACTATTCCATGCAGAGGATTTACATTTTAAAAAGACTTACATGGTATCATTTGCGTTTTAAAAGCCTGAATCAAGAGAATGTGTATGTTAAAGATCCAAAATAGAATAATTTGCATCAAAAACACACCAGTTTGTAGCAAGAGAGATATCTAGAGATTTATGCATAGATAGTCCTCATTTAACTATCACTTGTTCAGCGACTGTTCGAAGTTATAACAGCGCTGAATGAGGAAATGTACAACTGGTCTTCGTAGTTGTAGCCATCACAGCATCCCAGGGGTCACGTGATTGTGATTCAGGCACTAATTGGCTCACAATTATGATGGTTGTAGCGTCCCACAGTCATGTGATCACCATTTGTGATCTTCCCTGCCAGCTTCTGACAAGCAAAGACACACCAGTTTGTAGCAAGAGAGATATCTAGAGATTTATGCATAGATAGTCCTCATTTAACTATCACTTGTTCAGCGACTGTTCAAAGTTATAACAGCGCTGAATGAGGAAATGTACAACTGGTCTTCGTAGTTGTAGCCATCACAGCATCCCAGGGGTCACGTGATTGTGATTCAGGCACTAATTGGCTCACAATTACGATGGTTGTAGCATCCCACAGTCATGTGATCACCATTTGTGATCTTCCCTGCCAGCTTCTGACAAGCAAAGCAAACCTGGAAGGAC